TCCCTTTGGACGCCATTGTATAGCCGCCCAGCCCTACGATCTGCATGGAGACCATGTTGTCGCTGACGCCAAGTCCGACCACATTGGCAGCCCAGTTCGCGGGTACAGGTCGAACGATTTGTAGTACAAACCCACACACCACACGCGCACAGCCTTCATGTGCAACAGCGCGGCCCCCGTGTAACCCCACCAATACAGTGGAAGATCTTTGTCACCCCCAGACGGGAATCCGTCTTGAAGAAGCCGCAGGGTGGTAAATAGGGCTGATGGCTGTCGGGTAATGCAGTCATGGTAAGGCGGCCGCCGGCTGACCGATACCCACATGGCATCCCAAAACAATGAAACGAAACGCCGCCGTGCTGAGGATGCCATGCCTCAGAAAAGGCCCCCAGAAAAGACTCCCCGTCGCTGAACTTCCATGAGAGAAGGTGCCAAGGTCTTGACTTCGTACAAGGCTGATTCCTTGCCCACATTCGGAACCAGGCTCCCGGATCCTACGAGTACCCGCGGGCTATCCCGCGTCTCCAGCCCTACGCGGACGAGACTCCGACCTGAATTCTTGTTGCTAGGAGGATTGAAGGATTTTAGCAGTGTATTCAGCGGCCTTGAAGACCGGAACTCAGAACCTTAAGACGTCATTATCGTCTTCCTTCCAGCCGAGAAGGATGAAGCTTGTCGCTCGAGAGAGCACCCGCTATCGATTCGAAAGCGACCCGGGGCCAGGCGGATCTTGCCTCTGGCGATCGGAGTACGCGCACAAGGCTTAGATGCGGCGTGTTGCTTACGCACTTCTCATCGCATATAGTTCTGTTCACACCGCTGAGGTGTTTGCTTACGGGACGGATTAGGCTGTCGCTTACATCCTCGCTCACCATTGCTATCCACCTCTTTTTGGACACTCCCGCATCGACTTGCCGGAAAGGGAAAATACAGTGGTTGCACAAACACTGCAGTTTTGCCAAGCGTATTTCGTCGGTCTGCGGGTCAGGGAGAACGGGGTGCCGCCACGCGTACGCTTGTCCTCATTCGCTGAGGAGATTTATACGGCCGGTGCGTGTGGACCGTTCGCCGCGGATTTCGGTGACCAAGTATCTTGGTGATGCGGGCGCAATGTAAGTCCGTCGGCCGACGGAGTTTGAGAGGTGAGAGATGACAGGTCGGAAGAGCCTGATGATTCAGATTCTCTCACGGTAGTGACGATGGACGTGTCATTGTGCGCGGCTTCTGCCTGGACGAGGCGTTGTATGGAGGTTTCTGGAATTTGAGCATGACGATCTGCCTTCTTGTGAGGGACACTGGGGTGTGAAGCCAGACTAGTTGGTGTGCGTGTCGTTCGATGACCTCCGTCTACTCACGATGCTCAGCGTTCCTACGACTTTGATGGTAACGATGTGATCTCTGCTGATCGAATGACGTTAATTTGCACGCAAAAAAAGGAGCGGATGCGTTCATTTCAGACCACCAGGTCTTCCCTGTATATCATTCCCGAGTGCTTTCTACATCACCCACCCCAACCACATAGTCTATCACTCATGCTTCATACATACGTTCCGTAACAATGCTGCAAGGAAGGAAAAACTTTTGAATCAGATGGAGCAATTTACAACTCGTCTCTGACGTGGCCGCTGCCTGCCTTGATAGGCTCCTCCATGGCCATCAGCTTGACGACCAAGCTCGTCCAGCCGGTGAAGTGCTGCGTGCGCTGGCCCTCGCCGGTCTCAGGGTTGTACTGCTCCCAGGCGAAGCCCGTCTTCTCCCAGCTCTTGTAGACAGTGTCGACCAGGTTCTTGCGCAGACGGGTGAAGAGGTCTGCAGCCTTGGCCTTGTAGGGACCATCTTGGTTGGCAGTGTTCTGTTCAGTGTTAGCGTTATGCTTTTCCAGAGCGAGTGTGTGAGGGATGACGTACTCTAAGTTGGGAAACGGCCATGTAGTTGATGGGCATCCAGACGGGGCTTCTCCAATAGTTCTCGGCGGTGCCGTAGAACTCGTCTTGCTTGCTGAGACTCCTCAGGCCGTGGGGGCTGAAGAGGTGTTCCTCGTCACCCAACAGGTCAAGGAGCTTGCCCAGCTTGGGGTCGTCAGCCTCAAGCAGACCAACCAGGAAGGGGAAGAGGGAGATGTAGCCCTTGTGGCAGACAAGTTGGTGCTCCTCAAAAGCGTCAATGGTTGCGTCACAGTAGCAGCCCTCCTTCTCGGACCAGTGGAGGTCGTTGAGGTTGCGACGAATGGCGTCCAGGGTAGTCTTGAACTCGTTCACCTCCTCCATCATGCCAAGGGCGTCAGCAATGTTCATCAGCGACTTGGTCATCAGACCAACCCACGACATGAGGTCAACGTGGAGTTCACCGGGGTGAGGGGGCTGAGGACGAGGGTAGTCGTCGAGACCACTGGTCAAGACGTGCGTCTCGGTGCGGCCCCTCCAGCGGTAGCCCTCCTTTTTGGAAAAGGCCTCGCGATCGTAGGACTTGAGATCGCCGCGCTGCGTCTTGCGAAACCAGTCATACTGGCGGCGGAGAAGAGGGTAAAGCTTGCGAAGGTACTCCTCTCCCAGCTCGACGTTGTCCAAGTGGGCGGTCTGCAAGGCAGACGGTTGGCCCAGCTGCTCCTTCTCGGCAGGCAGACTACCGTTGGTCTTGCGGAGACGCTCCATGAAGCCCTCAATGATGAGGAAGAGGGTAGGAGGGTTGGCATAGTGCGGGTACTGAACCTGGAACTCCTCGGGTACCTTGCTTCGTGCTTCGTTGCCGAGAATCTGCTCACGAGCGATCCATCCATCCTCGTCAATCAGGTTGAACCAGCTCTTCACGACCTCCAGAGTCAGGTCGATATCCCAGTCGGCGATGGGAATTAAGTGGAAGCCCTCATCCCAAAGGAATCCACGAGGGAAGAAAGGACGAGAGGGGATAGCGGTGTAAAGTTCGTAAGGACCCTCCAACTCCTGGGCCTTGCGTGCACGGGCAGCAGCAGTCTCCTCCCAGAAGCCCTCGTTCTCCTCGTCATACTCAGGCGCATAGGAGCGGTCGACAAGATGATGACCGTGGAAGTAGCCAATGCCACCGAGAAGGTTCGAAAACATACTCTTGCCGAACTTCTTGTACTTGTCGGCAGTGAAAGGGGCCTTCAGACTGAAAATGGAGGAGAAACGCTGGCCGAAAGACTCGCTAACGGTCTTGACCTCACGAGTGACATCGGAGCTAGTGAGCTCAGGGCCGGCAGAAGCAGATGAGAAGATGACGTCGAACTCGAAAGGTCCCTCGAATGCCTTCTGAACAACGTGAGTGTTGCCTGCGCCGGGCTTGTTGGAAAGCTGGTAGACAAGATGAGGTGGAGGCGGGTCGTCCATGTCATACTTCTCTTGGACCTCCTTAACACTCTCCTGGATGAGGTTGAAAACGACGCCCTTGCCCTGCCACTGGATTTCATCAGGAACCGTGAGGGATCGTACAACGGTCTTGTCACCGTGTCTGGCCTGGGCCAAATCATGGTTGCTAGAGGGGTGCTTGCCCTCTCCTTTGGTGATGACCAGCTTGTACTTGCCGAGCTCAGGGGACGAACCCTCAAACTCGACATCGCCATCGAAACCGGCAGGATCGCTATCAGTGCCGGAGAAGGCAAGCTCGGCCTCGGATCCCTCCTGAGCAATGTAGTAGTGCAGCAAGGTCTTCACATCCGAAGGAGCACCCTCTCTGGGAACACCCTTGATCCTGGCGGCCCAACTGCCGCCGTGGGCTCCGCCTGGGACCTTGACGAAGGCGGTGGTGATGTCAATCTGATTGCCTTCGTCGTGAATGGTTTGAATGCCACCCTTTCGTGCATCGTACTCATCCCAGCCGTAGCCATGGAGGCCCTCGTGCTGCTCGCAGGTGTAGCGGAAACCTGGGGTTTGTTAGCTCATAAACTACCGAGTTCAAAGTTGTCCCAACCCACCATTCTGGACATCGTTGTAGGTGTCAACCCGTGACCACATCAATCCGGTCCAAAGAGTCTGAGGAGATCTGGATCGAACACCAAAGTACAGGTTCGGCTTATAAGGACCCCAGAACAAGCTTTGGTTGTTGAGGCGGCCGACCTCGCTGGTCAGGACGGAAGCCGAACCAGGACCATCTTCCGCTGCAAGGGCCAGCTGTGCGCCAAAGATGTTGAGAAGGGAAAGTGAAATGAGAGCGGCCAATTGCGTTAATCGAGCCATTTTTGCGGTGTGTGAGGGATCAACCAGCGGCCATGAGAGCTCTGAGTTGAATAAGTGACACTCACACAGCTGCTTGTCGAAGTTGTGTGAGCGAGCGTTTACAGAAAAGCAAGGCGCAATTGAGTTGTGGTAAGTGAAGTAGCGAGGTACCTGCCGCAAGACGCCCGCGGTACGTAAGTGAACACGTTTGACGACAGCAGCTCAAGCTCCCCCCCGTTGTCGGGGCTGGAGATGTGGCTTAGGACAGCTTGCTCGACATAGACCTCGCCACGGGCCAATCAAACCCCTGAACCGGATCGAGCTTGGGCCAGCTGTCGTGTGGCGTCGGCTGTTTTAGCGTCAACTCCGTCTTCGACAGCTGCTACAATCCCTGAAACCTCAGCAGACCCTCCCAATGCAGTGGGCGCTGGGGAATCGCTCCCACCACTAGAAAACCCCCCGGTCGGTTCGCACACCGTCATTCACCCAGTGAGGTGGCTGCATTGCATGCCAGTTCCATCCCGTCACGTCCCGTCCACTTTATCCGTACATCTCTACTCCTAACCTGCAGCCTGCACACTGCACGACGGCAAGCTTCCTGCCAACCTGCAGCCTGGTCTTGCGCTTGATTGTCAACCGCGCGCAAATAACCGCCAGCTCGAGCTTCCTCTGGCGTCGAACGAAAAGGAACCCGCCGAGCTTCTCCGACTTCTGCGTGTACTTGTCGTGGATCTAACTAGGACGGATACATCGCGACATGGTCGCATAGCTCGCCTGCGCAAACCACCTTCTTTGACTTGAAGATGCTGGACGGGAGACAATAGTGCTAGGATGAGCTTGGACTCGCTGTTACCCATCGCTCCCGCGAGGGTGAGGGCATTGATTCTACCCGTAGGCCAGATCAGAAGTGACCGATTCTCGTCCTTCGTCGAGCGCCTGCGGCCTGAACATGTCGTCTCCTTGCGGGATGTCACCCCCGATGGGCGGCCGCATAGAAGCAAGTGCCACTCACTTTAGATTTTGTATTTGCGCATCTGTTTGCTAACTGTTGGGTACCAGACATGTTCTCGCCATTGGCTTTCCCCCCTGGTGCCGTATTCTACGAATTCGTAACCCACACTCCTCCACCCTCCCACCTCGCCCTTTTGCCTTTCGACCACTACCGCGAACCTCTGGCCGTCATTGCGATCGCAGACGGGTCCGAAGTTGATCGAGTCGCCTTCAACAAGCGCTCGTCCAACACTGCGCCAACCATCGCCGAGCAGAACATCCGAACGCTGTACCAAGAGCTGGAGGACCTGCGTGACCGCTTTGGCAAGGCCTTGGTCCACCAAGTCTTGATCTTCGACCATGTGCCGTCTCAAGAGAACCCGATTTCCATGCCTGAGGGCCTTGTCGCCATTCCACCGCCGGACGAGTGCAAGCGGACGACGATGAAGACCATAATGTGCGACATCACGTCGCAATTCCTTGCCGAATTAACCACCGTGGCCAAGATGTATGAGGCATACTCGACCATCGAATCGCCTGGGCAGTCACATGCCATGAAGCACGTCAACGGCGCATCCTGGGACCTGAGTGGTTCTCCGCCATTGAATAAAAGGAATTCGCAGTTTGCGCCAACGCCTCAGAGGTCAAGCTCCACTAGCGGGCTACCAGATCGCCATCTGCACCGCATGTCGATGCCTGTCGCGCCTTCGAAATCAAACTCTGCAATACCATCCAGCAACTCAACACCGGCTCGTTCTTCGACGCCTGTAAGGAGTGGCTTGTCTAATCCACCCACCACCTTTGACGACCTCGCTGCAAGCATGAGCAGCGGCTCGTCGACACCTGACCCTGTTGGCGATCACTTCAAGTCCGATAGCTCAGATCGAGTGTCTGTACAAGGCTTCGGTCCTGGCGGGTTAAATGAGCGTTCCAGAGCCAAGGGAAAGGGCAGAGTGACCATCGTTCTTGCTTCGCTTTACCTTCAAGCCGGACGCTGGACTGATTCCCTGAAGGAAGCCATAGACGGCGCAACCGTTGCGAGGTCAATCAATGACCACATTTGGCATGGCAAAGCTTTAGAGTTGATTACTATTAGTCTTTTGCTCCTCGGGTGGGCAAAGATTGAATTCGTAATTCCCACTGTGTGTCTGCCACCTCAAGACAAGTCCACGGCCGCAACTCTGGCTGCGCTAGAGGCAGCTTCTACGGATCTCAGCCAGCCGAAGCACATGCGCAACCTCCAGCTGATAATGCCGGACCTCTTGGAGCGCATCGTGGGACTATACTCTAGGATATCCTCGGAGCACTTACCTCCATTACCTCTAGCCGAAACCACAATCCGTTTTTGCAAGATTCTTTCCGCTCTGCATCTTGCTGATGGAAAGCTCGGGGACAAGTCAATGGATATGATCATATTTGGCAAGCTTCCTGACAAGCAGCTGACAACTTCACCACGCTTGGTCATTACGCCAAGCCGGCAGCAGATCACCACACTGCTGTTTCGCGCTTTCCCTTCTTCCGCGTCGGAGCTTCTCACGATTGCGGATAGGGCATCAATTCTGGCTGGAATTGCGTCAGTACTGGGTCCCCTTGGACATCATCGCAAGAAGGCCATGGTTACACGAGAGCTTGTTTCGGTTTTAATCAGCGGCCTCGTCGAAGCCCGAACACGAGGTGCTGCAGAAATGGGTATTCATCCTGCAGCAGGCTTGGTTGCTCTTAACGCTGCCAATGGGCATAGCAATAGTGCTGTCGCCCTTGAGCTGGGCGAGGGAGATGTTGAACAAGGCATCGAGGCCTTTCTGGCTCTTCTGTGCAAGTCCTACGGTATTGTAGGTTTTGATTTGAAGAAGCAGCCTTCTAACGACGCCGTTGCTGTGGAAGACTCAGACGTTGCTATCATCGATAGAATTCGAGGACAGTCGGCTGCGAGATTCTTCGGGTTCACGAGTGTCAAGTTGAACATCTTGAGGGCTTGTATTAATTTCTCAGAGGCGTTGCCCGACTTCAATGGTGTTTTGAAGTTTTCGAGCGATCTGCTACGAACAGCCGGATCTGGCGTCGCTCCTGGGCCTCGCAAAGAAGACGCGTCGCCTGTCATTTCCCGCGATGAGCAGATACGGCTGGTGACAAATATTGCCAAGACGTCCAACTTGGCTAAAAGACTGGGGTTGAACCACCTTTCCGCTGAGTATTGGGATGAGTTTTTCGTCCGCGGCGTGACACTGGAGCCGTTGCCTAACAGCAGGATACCAGTTCCCCATGCAAAAAGTACTCTCCCGGGGGCCGTGACGGCGAGAACGTCGCAGGATGTCAACCCTTTTATTTACAATCCCTTTTTGAAGCAACCCGACAAAGCTTCTATCCACACTCTGGTAGCGAACGAGCCAGCAACCTTCAAGATCACCCTTCAGAACCCCTTCGACATTGAGGTCGACATTGAGAGCATTCGCCTAGACACCAGTGGAGCGGAATTCGAGTCCAATGCCGAAAGTACCGTCATTGGCCCCTACCGGACACAAATACTGAAGGTTTCTGGAACTCCCAGAGGCGCAGGCGCATTGAAAGTGACCGGCGCCATCATACGCGTTCGTGGATGTCGGGAGAGGAGATTCCCAATTTTCAAGCAGCCTTGGACTCCAGAGACAGAGTTAAAGGTTAAGTCCACCGGAATGCCTGCTCTCGAAAACAGCATTTCTTCTACAACTCCTGGGCGGCCGCTTAAGGCTGAGAACATTGGCTTAAATGTCATTCCCCAACAGCCTGTTATTGTAGTCAAGTCGACAACGTTGCCGCAGTCATCGATCATGGTCCTCGAGGGAGAGAGACAGGTCTTCTCCGTCACCCTCCAAAACCTGTCTTCAACAACACCAGCCGACTTCATGCTGTTCTCTTTCCAGGACTCTACCCAGGCGCCGTTGCAGGCGGGGCTTAGCAACAGAGACGCCACTCCGGCTGAGCTATATGAGTATGAGTTCATTCTCATGAAGCGCCAAGCGCTTAGACGGTTGAATAAGAAGGAACCCGAGAAGCGCTTCATCGCTCCAGGTGGCACCGCGACTTTTGACTTTGAAATCCTAGGCAAGCCAGGGCTGACGAATGCTGCCATTCAAATCGACTATGCACATCTCGGAGTGCCACCAGAGGAAGTAACAGAGCAATATCACACTCGTCAAGTCGCGTTGCAATTGACGGTCACTGTAAACGCCAGTGTCGAGCTCTCTAGGCTGGACGTGCTTCCTCTCAGTGGACCTGTCCCTCAGCCACTACTCAGTCTTACTCACCTTGATTCGACGTCCGACCCGTCCACTCTGGCAGACGAATTCTGCCTGCTGTCCATGGATCTGCGCAACGCTTGGCCCAACAATATGGAGGTACAAATCGATGGCGAGGGCGGCATCCTGATTGACGAACACATACTTCCTGGTAATACCAGCCGAGTCATCGTCCCTATCAGACGGATATACCTTGATGACCCACATGCCTCGATCCCGGCACTGAACCCCTCGAGACAGCGGCAATTCGTCGTCAGCACTAGCAAGATTACACCGGACATGGAACGCTCCAATCGCGAGGCGTTCTGGTTTCGCGAGAAGATTCTCAACACGCTTACAGCTCGTTGGAAGGCGGTGTCCGGTCCCAAGCGAGGTGGCTATATCGATCTGCGGAGCATTAGGCTTTCTCCACGGATGATGGATGCTCTGAGAATCGACGACATTGGTATCGATATTTCCATCAAGGACCACAGTACCGATACTGGAATCGCAGCGGATCACTCTATTCTGGTCGATAACTTTGTACAGATTAAGGTTGGCATCACGAACCGCTCAGCTCAACCAGTCTATCCGATGCTGCGGTTGATGCCAGCTTTGTGTCACAGACCTCTCAACGTCGCGTTAGACTTTACACGGAAGTTTGCTTGGAATGGCACTCTGCAGCAAGCCCTTCCACCCCTTGCTGCCAAGTCGAGTACCGAAGTGGAAGTCGAAGCTATGGCCCTTTGCCGAGGAGAATTCGAGATCGCAGCATCGGTCGAGGAATACCAGATCTGGGAAGAGCCCAAGGACGAAAAGGAAAAGGAAGAGACGAAGGAAGGGGCGCGACAACGATCGGATACGCAGACGATGATGAACGCCCTCCTCGGCGCAAAGGAGCGGCGCATCTGGCATTCGAGGCAACCTTGCGTCGTCAAAGTGATAGACCACGACTAGCAGCGTAAGCTACATCGTGTATGACGAACTGTACGATGGACGTAGGCGCTAGACTCATATCAGATTTGGAATTGGCAATCGTAGCGGCCTCTTTACGTAGCTAATAAAGTGCCCTTGAGCACGACTGTGGTCGTAAGGGTTGAGCCTCCAGGGATGACTGATCGACCCGGCGATCGAATTAAGCTTATCCCTGGCAAACGGCCCTGCGACGTTGAATCATGCGCCGGGCCCTGACCGCCTTCTCATTTCTGCCTTCGTTGCCACCAAAATTTCTTTGTAAAGGTCCAAGTTCCGGCGCTAGCCGACGGCGGGTCTTTTCTCTCTAACCCCTCCAAGGACTCATCTCATTTACACGGGTGCCAAAAGTCGTTCGCTTCGAGAGACGGCGAGCGTTGCATCGAGACCTTGTCATTCGGTCCGGGAATCGGAGATTTTTATCCCCCAGGATGACGCGACCTCAGATCCTGTTTCTCGATGCCTACGACTCTTTTACGAACAACATCGTCTCCCTCTTGACGGATTTGTTGGAGGCGGATGTGCACGTTTTGCCAATTGACACCCCGCTATTGAACCACGACTCGCCAGCGTTTGAGGGCGAGTTCCACCGGGAACTTTCACGCTATCATGCGGTAGTCTGCGGGCCTGGGCCGGGCTCTCCGGAAAATGAGAAGGACGTCGGGCTCATGAGATGCGTTTGGAGGCTGCGAGAGGAGCACCTCTTGCCAGTGTTGGGAATCTGTCTTGGGTTTCAGAGCTTGGTCCTGAGCGCTGGAGGGAGGGTGAGGAGGCTGCGCCGGGGGTTGCATGGCATGGTTCGCGCCATTGAGCGTGAGATGCCTCACTCGCCAAGCTGGGAGGATATTTTCAAGGGCGTGCCCGAGTTCAAGGCGACGCTTTATCACAGCCTTTGCGCCGACATCGGACAGGACTCGGTTCCCGACGTGGAATGGAAGCACAAGCGATGGGAGTCTCGTGATGTACCTGATCTGATGCCCTTGGCTTGGGCTGTTGAGGAGCGAGAGGACGGGAGCGAGAGAATCCTCATGGGAGTCAAGCATCGGACTAAGCCTTTCTGGGGTCTGCAGTACCACCCGGAATCCGTCTGCACCCAGCAAACAGGCCATGCTATCCTTCAGAACTGGTTTGTGCATGCTATGCAATGGAACAAGAAGACGGGAAGAAGGATCGAGACTGACGGGAAGTTTCTGGCGAGGAACTCTCTGAAGCCAAGTCTGCTTTCAGAGGTTCGGTCTGCAGCTCGGGGAGGACATGCGCCCGTTCTGGCGTGGACGGAGATGCCCACGTCTCTGGCGACTGTTGGACTCGACTGCGAGTACGTCTTCAAGACGATGAACCTTCCAGCGGGTATCAAGGTGCCGGACATTGTGGAGATACTCAAAAGTGGCAGGGCGGAGCATATCATCCTGGATTCAGCCAACTCGAGTACGACGGCAACGGGGGCTAAGGACGTACGGGGCAGATACAGCATCATTGCTCTGGACGTAGAGGAGGCGCTGCGGATTGAATACCATGTCGGGGACGACTTTGCCACAGCTCGCGTGCCTTCGAGCCAGGGGCTCCCCATCGACCTGATGGAGACAATTCCGTTTGGCCCCCAGGAGAACATCTGGCACTTGTTGTCCAGTTTCTTTGAGAAGAGACGTATTCCTGCACCCCGCGTACCTCAGAGGCCTTCCGACCCCCCACTGGATGTCGAGACTCCTTTCAGGGGTGGATTCATGGGTTATCTCACGTACGAAATGGGGCTGAAGGGCATCGACGTACCCGTGGCCGCTGACCGAGGGCACCAGAGACCTGACCTCTGCTGGGCTTGGGTGACGAAGAGCATCGTTGTGGATCACGTCAAGGGGCTTCTTCACGTCCAGCACCTACAGAAACGCAAACTCAACGCCGACTTCTGGATCGACTCGGTGGTGGCGTCGCTGCAGACTTCGCACTTCTGGCAGCCTGGGAAATCCGCCGTCAACGGCCACCACCTCGATCCCATGACCGTCGCGACACGGCCTGTTGTCCGCGTTCCTCACGCCAGCGAGTATGAGGCCAAAGTGCTGCGTTGCCAGGAGTACATCGCGGCCGGCGAGTCATACGAGCTGTGCCTTACGGACCAGACCACGATCACGCTCCCGGGTCGTCCCTCAGCCGAGCCCTACACGAACCGCGTCAACGGCAACCACCATCCCAAGTCGGCGCACGTCACGCCGTGGAAGCTGTACAAGACCCTGCGCACCCGGCAGCCCGCCCCGTTCGGGTCGTTCATCCGCCTCGGCGGCGCCACTCTCATCAGCAGCTCGCCGGAGCGGTTCCTCGAATACGGTAGCGACGGGTCCATCTCCATGAGGCCGATGAAGGGCACCGTCCGCAAGTCGAACGAGGTCGCGACGCTCTCTCAGGCAGAGGAGATCTTGCACGTCCCAAAGGAGGAGGCTGAGAACCTCATGATTGTGGACCTCGTCTGCCATGACCTCCACAGCATTTGCGGATCGAACGTAGCCGTGCCGGATCTGATGAAGGTTGAGGAATACGCCACCGTCTTCCAGATGGTTACCGTCGTCTGTGGGCAGCTGCAGCGCCTGGGTGCGGTTGAGGAGCAGCATACCGGGCTTGATGTTCTTGCTGCCAGTCTGCCCCCGGGCAGCATGACTGGCGCGCCCAAGAAGCGAAGCTGCGAGCTGTTGCAGGAGATCGAGGAGCACCGGGAGAGGAGCTTGTACTCGGGCGTGGTGGGGTACATGGACGTCACTGGCAAGGGCGACTGGAGCGTGACGATCCGGACCATGTTCAAGTGGGACGACGAGGCTGCGGCGCCCGAGGAAGGCGAGACGGAGCCCAGAGAAGTGTGGCATATTGGTGCCGGTGGTGCCGTTACGATTCTGAGCACGGCGGAGGGTGAGAGGGAGGAGATGTTCACCAAGTTGGCGGGGCCCCTTGGGGTGTTTGCCGAAGCCTGAACAGATCAGGCGAGTGTTTCCAAGGGCATTGGTTTTCTGGCGTTGTGACTTTTGGGCGGGGGATAAAGGCATGGTGTTTGGTTGATACCTCAACGTATCTGGGATATTAGACTCCTGTGACCTTCACGGGTATTAGACTCAACTTAGACAACCCGGATGATCCATTCTAGAAAATGGAAAAAAGACAACTTCAGACTTATCAGCATGATCAATCTCGACCCTCGGTGCACTTTCCGTCTAATGAATACCATGCCCTCGAATTAGATGGTCGCATAACAAAACAGCGAATTAGGGAACGCCCGCCTGACGGAATGATGCTGGATATACATGTGAGAAGCTCCTCCTCCGTATCAAACACAGTGATCCAATTCCTCCCTGCCGAATGCCCTGAGCGCCTTCGTGATCCCGAACGTGTCATACTGTACAGGCCTCGCTCGTCAACTGGCCAAAGATATGTGTCCCCTGCCACCGCATCTCCATGAAGACCGACTACCTCTCCGGGTTCGCTTCGTTCGGTCGGATGCTTTAGAACTCTTGCTCCTCCTGGAAGAACATGCCGAAGCTGATGATTGTGCCATAGATAAGAAGACCGCCGATAATGGACATGAACATGGCTTCGATCTGGATGAGGTCGGAGTGGGCCAGCACGATTGGCAGGGCTGCATAGACGGTCGCTGGTCAGCTTTTGATCTAGAAAAGGGACCTCACGAGTGGGACGACTAACCAATTCCCATTACAACGAGGAAACCAGTGCAGAAGCGGCCGAGGTCCAGCACGGCGGCGCCCGAGCTCTCGACAAAGTCATCAGGGTTGGCGCATCGCGAGCAGATCCAGTTGGGGATCGGGGCCAGCACGTAAGTGGCGACGACGAGGAGCGGGTAGTAGACCTTCCAGAGGGCACAGGAGAGGATGACCAGGAGGAAACCGACGGCGAGGACGAAGGAGAGGGCGATGATGGTCTTGAGCCCTGCGGTAGGCATCTTGAATGTCGTAGCGTCGAGGAGTGTCAAAGTGGGTTGCACTTCTTGTTTCGGAGAGGTATCGGGTTGGAATTAGGGCCCCGTCGGGGCTTCGAATCAAATTCGTGAAAAGATTCGCAAGTCGTCGATAAAAGAAGTCGCCGGTGTGTTGATCAAGTCGGGGAGTCGTGTCGATTGCTTTCGTGCAGGTGGGAAAGTTCGGTTGTCGTTGTCGCGGCTCGGCTGGGAGTAAGGTAGCAGGCTGAAGCTGGGATGCGATGGCGGGTCCTCTGGTGGCCCTGACGCACCTCAGCGTCGTGTGCTGCTGCTGCGGCCGTCGTCAGCGCAGCACGGCGCAACCTTGTTCCAGCCGGTCGCTCAGGTCTGGTCCCGTCCTAGGTCCAGTTGGAGCTGCCACAATCAGTTCCTGCTGAGCTAATCCCCACCCGGCAAGACCCCGGCATGGAGGTACGTAGCTCAAATGCACGGAGCACACACCACACGCCTCCACACCCTTGCTCCAGGCTGAGAGAGTGCTACGAAAGCTCGACCTGCCTTGAGCTGGCCTGGGGGGTTGATTATCCACAAGCTCTACTCTCCGCCGCAACTGCTCCCGCTGCTGCTCTTCTTGCCCAACAACCACGAAAACCACCCCGCGATTCCCTCTCCCTCTCCCTCCCATTCAACCCACGACACGATATCGACGGCAGCTTAATTGAACTGCTTGACGAAGCTACGATCACTCCCTTACGCCCGCCATGTTCAGAAACAATTACGACAACGACTCGGTGACATTGTAGGTTTCCCGTTTGGCTGCCCTTCAGCCTTCCCTGCCGCCCCCGGCTGGCGGTGGAGGCGAGCACCATCACGACGAACAGCTTCGCTGACGCAACACGACACACAGCTCGCCGCAAGGCCGTATATTCCAGATCGAGTATGCAGCTGAAGCAGTGAAGCAGGGTTCTGTGGTAGTAGGCATTGCCAGCAAAACACATGCCGTCCTGGTAGCAATCAAGGTACGAACGATGTCACCAGCACGCAGTCATTCACATTATCACGACTCTACCCCTTCCCTCTCACGCCCGACCCAGTCTCCCGAGACCGAAGGCTAACCAGTCACACCCGCACAGCGCAACGCCGAGGAGCTTTCATCCTACCAAAAGAAGATCTTCCCTGTCGACGAGCACGCCGGCATTGCCATCGCAGGCCTGACCTCAGACGCCCGCGTCCTTTCCAACTTCATGAAGCAGCAATGCCTCGGTCACCGCATGACGTACGGCCGTTCGATGCCTCTGCGCACCCTCGTCGATATGATTGGTGAGAAGGCCCAGATCAACACGCAGGTCTACGGCAAGCGCCCCTACGGTGTCGGTCTCCTCGTCGCCGGTGTTGACGAGCGTGGGCCTCACCTCTTCGAATTCCAGCCCTCCGGCATGACGGAGGAGATGCTGGCCTTCGCCATCGGCGCCCGCTCCCAGATGGCCCGTACCTACCTCGAGCGCAACATTGACCAGTTCGAGAACTGCTCCCGCGAAGAGCTTGTGCGCCACGGCCTCAAGGCTCTGAAGGAGTCCCTCGTTCAGGACCGCGAGCTGACGGTCGAGAACACGAGCGTTGGCGTTATCGGTTTCACGGAGAAGGACGGCCTGAAGGTCATCGAGCCGTTCAAGATGTTTGACGGCCAGGACGTCAAGGAGTGGATCGACAGCGTCGCGGCGAGCGAGGGCCAGGGCGGCGGCGAGGAGGGTGCTGAGGGCATGGAGGTTGACGAATAGACGGAGGTGAGACACGGAAGGGAAGGCGGTTCTTTGGGATGGTAAAACCCTCGCGTTGCCACGGACTACATCACGCAGGACCGTTGCGTTTTCTCTGCGGAAACGGATTGGACTTGCTGAGATTGGCAGGAGCAAGACGCGAGCCGGCCCATTTAGACTTGTACCAATACACCACGGAAAAGGAGATTTGACAGCCGATGAAGGAGCTGCATCCGATGATTCAATGAGATGAAGCCCCCGCGCACTCGACACTTGCACTGTTTGTGACCGAGACAGTCTGTATGGTTTTGTTTTTTCAGTTTGTTATCTCGGTTGTGTAACTCTTTATGGTGATCTATCAACAAAAACTACAGCCAACAATGCACAAACACCATCCAATGTCTTGGTTCGTGTGTAACCAGGGCCGACCCGTAGAGGCAACCCCCTTTTTCGAATGACCCAACCCAGCCGAAGCGCGATGCAGAAGGGGGGAAACACGAAGGGCGCCAGACTCCGGTACGCATCCGTTTTCGCATAGCACATACACACACACACATTTGCCCTCCACCTCCTTTTTAGTTCCTCAGTTCTTCGGTATGCCCACAGTGATTCTTGATTACACCCCCGCCGCTTTAGAGAGAAACATGAGTTTTACCGGTGTGAAGCGGGTGAAGCGGGTGAAGCGGGTGAAGTGATTCAAGAGTTGGACCAGTCGAGCTTGAAGGTGGCCTCCGACACCTTGTAATCCCTTAGGGCCTTGATGGCGCCCTCGGGGGTGGTGGAGGTGACGAGGATGTCTGCGTTGGCGGGCTTGATGAAGCCCTCGTCGACGCTCTTGTGGACCCACTCGAGGATGCCGTCGTAGAAGCCGTTGATGTTGAGCAGGCAGATGCCCTTGTCGTGGATGCCGAGCTGGTTCCAGGTGGCGGTCTCGAGGACCTCCTCGATGGTGCCGTAGCCGCCGGGCAGGGCGATGAAGCCGGAGCCCGGGCCGCCGGCGAAGACCTCCTTGGCCATCATCTGCTTGCGGGTGTGCATGTCCTTGACGACGGTGGTGCGGCCGTAGACGGTCTCGTCGGGGACATACATGTTGTCCTTGTTAAGGGTGCCGTAGGTCCCGTCGCGCTCGTACTTGACGAGGGCCTCGGGGATGATGCCGTGGACTGCGTCCGGGCCGGCGAGGGCGACGAGGGACTTTGCCACCTCGCCCATCAGGCCGACGGTGCCACCGCCGTAGACTGGGAGTTTTGTTAGTTTATTGAAGGATGGTTGAGAGCTGGGCGTTTCATGTTGTCTTGGGGTTGGTGCGCCACTTAGGTTGTCATCGTGTGTGTCATGACTGAGACCTGTGGCGGCTGAAGATGGCAGTGAGAGAGAGAAAGGATGAAAGGTGACTCACCGAGGTCGATGTTGTTCTCGGCCATGATTCTTGCCAACTCACGGGCAGCCTCCATGTGCTGGGGCTTGAAACCGGGAGAGGCGCCGCAGTAGACACAGATCTTTGCCCTGCGTTGCACGCCATTTGTGCCGTTGGTGGTTGTGCCATTGGTGTTGCCGTTGGTTGTGCCGTTGCCGTTGCCACTGGGAGTTCCGTCCCGGGACACCGGGAATGGGGAAGGGCCGCCGGACTGCATTGTTGCGGCTTGTTCTTGATGTGTTGAGAGATGGGAATAGAAACAAAGTTCAAGACAGGTTGTTGTGATTGGATTTCTTTTTCCCGGAGTTAGTGGCTTTTGTTTCTGTTTGGTTGAAGAGAGAGACCAAAAGACTGAGTAGCTTACGATGAGATGATGCTGGGCGGTCTTAATACGTTGGGAGACAGACAGAGACACACCCGGGGGGTCAAGATGACGGTACTTTTGTGGGGACGTTACGGATTGGGAGTTGTAGAGATAGAGAGAGGGAGTCACGCCGGAAACAACTGTACGGTTCGCGGCGTCTTCCGAAATAGTTTCAAAGATTGAGTAACGGCAAGTCAGAGGAGGAAAAATCCAACAAAAAGTCAAAAGACAGAGAAGCCCACGAGAGAAGCTGAGCAAAGGGGAGAGAAGATGGCGGTGAAAGATAGGGCAGTTATATACGTTTCTCGGGATGGAGTCTCGGGCTCGAAAAGGGAGGCAAGTTTGTCTCGTTTGCAGCAGGTGTTGGTTGGGGTTCAGGAGGGCGATGGGGTTGGCGAGTTGGTGTATCAATATCCTGGCAATGACATGTAGGGGAATAAAGGTAGAAAAAAGAAAGGAAAGATTGGACGAGGCGAGAGCAAGCACTGATGGGAATGAGACAACGAGATGTCAGTTACCGCTGCGGCGCATGGGCGGCGGGCCGAAGGACTTGTTTGGTGGTTTAGCGCTGGTAGCTGGAACGACACCTGGACACGGCGCGAGATGATGTCGCCTTTTCTTTGGCTCATCTGCTCCTCTGGCTCCTTGTGGTTGCTTCTGGCTTCAGAAGGTTCGCTCGGGGATCCGTGGCCCCTCTTGCCGGTACAGTAGTGGACGATTTAGGTCGATGCTCAGGCCCAGCTGGGAATGGGAAAAGCAAAGCAGAGGGCACTGTGTCTCGTAGCCCGTAGCCGGGAACGAGGACAGGAGACGGGTGCGGTGTGACGGTGAAGCTACGTCTGCCGGTGTTGGGCTTGTTGACATGGACGTGGATCTGGGACGGGGCGAGACAGGGCACACGACTGACTCCTGGTTTTGCTTGTTGAACTCGACCTTTCTCCAGCTTCCCTCAGAAGGACTCGGTTTCTTTCCTTCTCGCCTCTCATCGCCTCGACACGAGACGGCTCTTGGGGGTTCCCATTTCTCCGTCTGCAACAGCCAAGCGTGTCTGGTTTGCCAACTTGTTACGCAGCGACTGGCCCGCACAAGTGTTCAGGTGACCAGCCGGCGAGGCCCGAGTGCCACGCGGTGCGCAGTTCTGGCATCCCGTTGATGACTCTACTGGGCCGTCCCGCTAGGATGACCGTAGTGGCGGGAATCAGAGGATGCCTAAAGTCGGGGAAGAGGGCAGTGGCGGCAGTGAGCCAAGGGATGCTCAAAGCAACCGTCTGAATCCTAGGTACGGTAGGGTAGATAGCAGCGGCACTCGCAAACGAGTCCATGTTGTCAGCGATGAAGGATACTTGATGCAACGTAGGCCAATTGGCAGATGCCACTTCTTGACAGGCATGTACACGTGTAACGACACCGTGCCTCACGTGTGCCCAGCGCCGTTGCCGAGTGGATGGCAGAGGCGTGAAGAGTGCCTCTTTGGGTCCTGATCTGA